CCATCCCCGAGGCCCACAGCCTGTACGTCACCCTCATCCTCTCCGACTCCGTGCTCAACATCTTCAAGGACAGGAACTTCGACAGCTGCTGCGTCTGCGCCTGCAACATGAACATCAAGGGCGCCGACGTGGGGCTCTACATCCCCGACTCGTCCAACGAGGACCAGTACCGCTGCACCTGCGGCTTCAGCGCCATCATCAACCGCAAGCTGGGCTACAACTCCGGGCTCTTCATCGAGGACGAGCTCGACATCTTCGGCAAGACCTCGGACATCGGCCAGGCCGCGGAGCGGAGGCTGATGGTCTGTCAGAGCGGCCTGATGGCGCAGATGGGAGAGGGAGCCAGGAGGAGCCAGGAGCCCCCCATGAGCCTCCTGCTGCTCCTGCAGAACCAGCACACGCAGCCCTTCACGTCGCTGAGCTGCCTGGATTACATGTCCTCCAACAACCGGCAGGCGCTGCCCTGCACGAGCTGGAGCTACGACCGGCTGCAGGCCGACAGCAACGACTCCTGGGTGGAGTGTTTCAACGCCCTGGAGCAGGGCCGGCAGTACGTGGACAACCCCACGGGGGGCAAGGTGGACGAGGCCCTCGTACGAAGTGCCACCGTCCACTCCTGGCCTCACAGCAACGGTAGGGGCACAACCCCCCCTCTGACCCTGGAATTCCTTTGGATCTCGGCAGTCATGACCCGCTTAATCTCTGTGTGGGAAGTGACAGACCTGAGAACAAGCTAGAAATAAAGGAGAGTTCTGCAAGCTTTATAAATGATATCTGAAGTACCAATAATCTGGTTACATCTCAAGTACCAATAGTCCCGTTGTCCTCAGACTTTGTGGCCTAAATTGTGACAGAGTCTGTGTGGAAGTTCACAAATGTGAAGCAGAGAGGCAAAGCAAATCCAGGTATTCGGGGGAAGGCAGGATTATGGCCCTTCGTTTTTTGGAGTAGGGTAAAAGCAGTCAGCAGAAGAGAACTGCTCTGTACACGAGAGTTAGGGGAAAAAAGCGTCGAGGGAAAAATAATTATTTCATAATTAAATGTTGCCTGTTTAAAGATGCTCTGACATCTTGTGAGCTGAGCCTGGCAGCTGTAGCACTGGAAGGTGTGTGAAGGCTGTGGTGACAGCTTCACTGCAGCCGTGTTTTCAGAAAGCCCCACGTTAAATGCCCTTGGGTTATCAGAGCTGCCCAAATTCCATGGGCAGCGTGCAGAGCAGTAGGGAGGCACAATGCACAGAAAATGCTGTCCCCTCTGAAGGATTGTTGGTGTCCCTCCCTGAAGTGATGGTGCTCCTTGTCCTTGCAGTGCTGGACATCAGCATGCTCTCCTCCCAGGACGTGGTGCGCATGCTGCTCTCGCTCCAGCCCTTCCTCCAGGATGCCATCCAAAAGAAGAGAACGGGAAGGACCTGGGAGAACATCCAGCACGTGCAGGGACCACTCACCTGGCAGCAATTCCATAAGATGGCAGGACGGGGAACCTACGGTAGGTACCCTGTGGGCCAGGCCAAGTTGGAAGGAAAGCAGAGTTTCTTGGAAGTGGGTTCTTTTTTCTGGAAATGTGTTAGGAGGGGGCTCTTCATACAGCTTGGGGTCGTGGGGGGCTCTTCACATGGCTTTGTAGGGCCCTGAAAGGCATTTGAAGCACATCTCAAACAGCGTGGTGGAGGCTTTACCCTTCCAGGCTGAGGGACATTTACAGAGGGCACAAGGGGTGGGTGAGGCTCAGCCCCTATCTGAGTGTGGGGCTGGGCTCAGACTGAAGCAACTGGTGCAGGCACAACGTGAGCAGAGGGGGCTGCTAAAATCAGCCACAGCCCAACGGGGAGAGGGGCTGTGTGAGCTGTGCAAGTCCACAAAGCTCGGGGGTGCTTTCTCCACACAGGGGTTTCCTTGTTCTAAGGCTTCCCATAGTCTTAATAAGAAGTTTTGTTTTAATTATCTGTCTGTGACACCTCTGGGAAATCCAAATTGCAAACCAGATTTTGCCATGTGCACCTTTGCAGAATAAGGACTGACATTTAAATCTGTATTTCTTATTTCAGGCTCAACCAATGCAGTCTTGGTTAGTTTTTTCACTACAGCTTCATTTCCTCTCTGTTGGTATTTGATATGTTGGTGCTTTCCTTGGGGCTGGGACAACTGGGGGTGACTCACTGACTAAAGCTGTTGTGCTGGAGTACTTCTAATAATTTGTGACTTTAGGAGTTAGGATTTGCCAATTGTTACCAGAGAATAAAACCAAAATTCCCACAGAGTACGGAGCAGAGCCTTTGATGGAGAGTCAGTGAATTTTACTGAACTTTTTAATAAAGTTGAATTACATTCTGCAGAAACTACTGGGTATATTTTTGCTTGACATTTTCAGCAATATATCTTCCCCTGAGCTCGGTGTCTGGGAGTCACCCTGTTACCCTGGATAATAATCCTCTCCATGGGGACAACAAGTGCTCAGAGCACATCCTGTGGAGAGGGGTGGGAGGCAATTTATGGAACTGTGATAACTTTGTGTGGTATTATGTACCTGGGAATAAATGAGCCCGAGCTTTAGTAATTTTGCACAACCAGGTGGAGGTGGGTGAAGAACTGTAAGATCAGATTTTGTGTTTTCCTGTTATTACTTGTGACAGAACAGGAACTCCTGAGCTGTGGTTGTGGATGTGACAAAGGAAAACCAGGACATGAAGCCTCAGGAAGGGCAGTACCTGTATTCAGAGTACACTGGGAGATGTTTTATTGCAGCTTTCCAGGGAAGTCAAAGTGGTGCTTGGATCAGCTCCCTCCACTTTGGCCAACTGAACTTTGATTCTGTGACATTTCTCAAGGACAGATAAATCTCTTTTCCTTTGTGGAATATTTTTTCCAAGAAAGGGCCATGTGAGAACGTGGTTTATAGGGATGGCACACCCTTGACACACATTTCCACTCGATGACCAGACTTGCAGGAGACTCATCATGGCAAGGGATTAGCGATTCCCAGTTATTTTAACCTCTCTTCTCTCTTTATTTTCCCTTGGAAGGCTCTGAGGAGTCCCCGGAGCCTCTCCCGATCCCGACGTTACTCGTGGGCTATGACAAGGACTTCCTGACAATCTCTCCCTTCTCCTTGCCCTTCTGGGAGAGGCTCTTGCTGGACCCATACGGGGGCCATCGGGACGTCGCCTACATCGTGGTGTGTCCGGAAAACGAGGCCTTGCTCGACGGAGCCAAAACTTTCTTCAGGGACTTGAGCGCTGTATACGAGGTTGGAAACGGGAACCACGCCGAGTTATTGCTTCCCAAGTGGCCCTTCTGCCCCAGTGCATGGTCATGGGGAGAAATCTGTGTTTGTTAAAGTAACAGCTGTTTGAAGAAGGGGTTTCTCTCCTGTTGAGGGCTCTCCAGCAGTGCTGTCTGAGTCACACTGTGATTCTCTGGGTGGGTTGGGGGATGTGTTGCCACCTGCTCTTTGCAGCACACAGAGGATGTGGCAGTGGCTTTAGTGCAGCTGCAGCCTCTCAGCCATGGCCCAACCAAGGCTAAAGAGCAAGGGGCAGACTCAGGAGCTGCTTTCTCATAACTGCTAAGCTGGACATAAAGCCATTCATTGTTTTAGTGTGCAGGTGCTGTAATCCCCAGTACCTGATTCCTTACAGGATCAACCAGGTTGGAAAAGACCTCTGAGGTCATCGAGTCCAACCTGTGACCCAACCCCACCGTGTCACCCAGACCATGGCACTGATGCCACATCCATTGTGTCCCTAAACACCCCCGGGGGGGGTGACTCCACCCCCTCCTGGGCAGCCCCTTCCAGTGCCACCCGTGTCCCCCCTGTGCCCACCTGCCCCGGTTCAGCCCCATCCTGCCAGGCTCCAGCTCCACGGGCTTCTTCTCTTCAAGGACCTGGCTCACCACGGGCTTCAGGCCCTCGTGCAGGCAGGGCAGCCCCACAGCCTGCAAGGCACGGGGACACCAAATGTGTCCCCAAACATCCTGCTGGGACATGACCCAGCTCTGCACCCCGATGGCATCGTGGGGGGCACAGTGGGGACCGGGCCAATGTCCCCTCCCATGTTCACCCTCATGAACTGCTCCATGGACTTGGAGGCTGCTGAGTTGGAGCAGAACAGGGTGTTGGGATCAGCTGGAACAGCACAGAGGCTGTGGCAAGGCGGGCACAGGGTGATGCCCCAGCTGTCCCCATTTTCCCCAACCCCAAGGACATGTGGCACTTTTCCTGCTCAGCCTTGGTGGCCCCACCCTTTCCCCACATAGGCCTGGGGAGGCCTTGGCTTGGGGTTTCTCGGGGTGCAGGTGGTACCCCAGCCCTGGCACTTACTGGTCCTGGCCAGCTCATGGCTGGTGACACAGTCCGGGAGGGGCACAGCCAGCTCCTGCCCCAGGAAGGTGTTCACCAGCTTGGTGACCACGTCCTGCCGGCTCTCCCTCAAGGTCACTCCTCCAGGATGACCAGGACTGTGCCATCAGGAGGCTGTGGGGAGGGCAGAGTGGGCACGGCAAGGCCCCTG